AATAACCTCTGATGCTGGTTTGACAAAACAATCAAACATCTGACAGTGTCATGGAAACAAGACAGAACTATGGTTATTGTGGTTTTTATGCATATGTTAAATTTATGTAAATTTAAAAACTCTTTGTTTTAAAGTGCTTGTTCCAAGTTAGATCTTTTCAGACAAACATTTGTAATCAGGTATACTGAATGACAAATGTTTGTCTCACTGTTAAAACAGAACAGGATTTTAAATCACTGCCTGTTCAAATATACAACTTTAAGTTTTTGTAGCAGGTTCCAAAAGACAAATCACTTGGGAACTAAAGTACATCCATCCACTTCACCCAGTTTTGCTCTGAAAAGACTAATCTCTTTCATTCTCAATTTTGGTTTGGTTTCCCTTAGTGAATCATAATTCAATTCCACAGTCAATTTGCTTCATTTGTGCAGGTGTAAAAGCTCATCTTAACTCACCAGATAACATGACTCTCAACTTGCTAGCAAGTGAACCTTTGTGAAATTTTCTTACAATGGGAAATCAAACCTGTTATTTTGTCAGCCAAACAGAGGAAAGGAACTATAAAGAGGGAATGACTTCACTTATACCCAGGACTTACAAATACATTTGTAATATGACAAATTAAAAGTTTATCCCCATCTTTAACACACCTAGTTGCTTAAGTCACTATTTATTAAAAAAGAAAAGTGCGATGGAGCAGGTGTACCAAGTAAACCAGATGGTTCATAAAACACTTCAAAGCAAGACTTGCATGCCTTCCTGCTTTATCTGATTGATTTCTGAAAGGGTCCAGATTGCAACGTGGTTGAAGTTATCCCAGACTCCTGAACTTTTTTGGTGCCCAACAAGGTAGAAATAATGACGAAACATAAACCTATATGCATGTATTTGCTGCTTGATGATGGGGAATAACATTGACAGGGAATCTGTGGGTTTTTTTCGCATGGATTTAGAGAAAACACAAGTACACAGCGTGGGATATCATTTAATGCTTGCAAATAATGTATGATAATGTACATTTGACTGGTGGTGGTGAAGTGTCACACTAAAAAATAAACACAAAAACAGTCAGAGAAACAGTACCGAAGGTTAAAATGTGAAATTTAACACAAGTTACAGTGTTTTAAAAATACATGTGAATGAATATTGCTAATACTCATTCATATTAGTCAATTATTTCACTTTCATTATGGTTAATCAAAAATAAACAAGAAGAAAAGGTCTATTCTAACAATTTTTTGAAGAGACAAAATACTAATTAGGGGTGCACCGATTTATCTTATCCATTAATCTTATCTAGACTGTCCTCTTTTGCTCTCTGGTGAGAAAGGTTTGACAGACAAACTGGTCCACCAAGTTATGTCTGCACAATTGCAATTAACAATAGTTACCCCACTGATGCCAACTCAACAACTTCCTTGAGCAACATTTCAGAAAATATTGGTATCGGCCAAAATCGGATTTAGCAGGTTAAGCTTTTTAAAAGATTGGTAATAGGTGATCGGCCAGAAAACTGCAATAGGTACACCCGTACTATTAACACAATCCAAATAAAAACAAAACTGCTTTGCCAAATATTATTTAATAGATATTGAAGTATATGAGCATAAAAAGGGAAGAAATAAAAGCTGACCAAGTAAATGTCTAAACTTCACAAAGTTTGACCTATGTGTTGTGAGCCTCCAGGGTTCTGGGTATATTGTAATAATAAATACAACTAATATGGTTAGATTTGTGTGCAAAGCGGGTTCTATTTAGCTATAAAAAAATATAGATCACAAACACTAAATTTCTTGTTTTTGTTCAAAGCTCTCTGGGCTTTGAACAGAAATATTCCTGTGGTACTGGGTTTTCTTCAGGTAGTTTGATTTCATTCCACAGTCCAAAAACATGCATGATGTAATAATTGGAGATTCTAAATGGAGTGTGTTTGCTTTAATGTTTGGGATGTTTCCCCATTTCTCACTCATTGATCACCGACATTAAGGAATCAGTCATCTCCTGACCATAAACAATGCAAGTCTGCACAGCAAATGGACTTATGGAAGAGCCCTTTATTATTTTAAATAAGCAAAACACATGGTATTCCTTTGATGTCAATTACAGCATTCAGTTTCAGGTGAGAGAATACAACTTCTAAAAATGCTCATGAGAAGAGAAGCTGAGAAGATAATTGGCATGTCTTTCTGCTCCGAGTAAAAGGAATGGAAGAAATTGGAATGCAAGCAATATGATATAACAAAAGAAAAGGAGAAAAACCAAGTTAAATAAGATTTTTGTAAATGAGCTTTCACTGTCAGACAGGAGTTTTAGAATGATGCATACAGCACCCCTTACATTTCTTCACACCCCCCGTAAAGTGTGTGAAGCCATAAAATATATTATGTCATTTTTTTTCCTGCAGTAGCAGAATTCCAAGTTAAGAATTTGGTCAAATTTAACACAACACACACACACACACACACACAAGAAATCTTTAAAGTCTCTTTTGTTTTCCCGAATTTATTTATATTTAACGCCATAATGACCTGCTATTTTTGTTGCTAAAAAGTCCAGTCCAATGCTTGCCTGAGTAGCACAAAGTTCCAGCTAAATCCCCAGTGGAATTTGGAAAACTCCATAGGTTTACATTTGTGATATTAGGAAATAAAAAAAAGATACTCATATTTTATCACTCAAAAACAGCCCTAAAGACTGTACTTAATGGAATGGAGACCTGCGACCTTCGGGAAAAAAAAAAATACTAACTCTAAACTATATATCTATAGTGGCAAAATGCATAGGATTTTCATCAGTGCCAAGTGACAAAGAAATAGGGCACTGTATCAATAAGTCAATAAGTAAATATTTTATAAGTAAATAAAATATTTACTTATTTGAAGTATTTTAAAACAACAATTGTGTGAATAAAACTAGACGTTGGTGAACAAGAACTTTAACTACTTGTTGAAAAAGTGCCTTTGCACAGTCAGCCTTCTCTTATACAGCAGTTCATAACTGAAGTAATGTTCCGAAAGCTCTTTTATTATTTTTGTTTGGTTAACTCTTAGTACCTTGTAATTTACTAATAATGTGAATCAATGTTTTTAATCTATAGTGTGACACATTTACATATTAGGCTGATTCATGTACATTGTCCCATTTTAAATAAATGAATTAAACCACATCTTTACAAGAGGTATCCATCAATGGGGGTGGCTCTGTATTTGCATGACTCAGGTACAAAAATGGGGTTTTGAAATCTCATATTTAGAATGTGTTTGACAATTCAAAAGAAAAATCAAAATAAAATAAAAGTAGCAAGGACAGTGCGTACTTGTTCTGGAAGACATATTACACATCACATTAATAAAATATAATTTAACAATCTGAGCCAGTCTCTTGCAAACATAACAGCGTTAGAGAAAAGAGAAACAAGTGTCCAAATGCTATCAAAGCATGTCTGTAAAACAATGTTTTCAAAGCGTATGTGAAACTAAAGCACACTGCTACGGACTTCCAATAAACACTCCAACACTGATAAATGTTTTATAAAAAATTATATAAAATAGTGTCTACACCTCACCAGAGAATACACTGAGCTCATGCTGTGCCTTCAATATGTAATACACACATGGAACTATTAAAGTCCATTATACCTCCTTTTCTCCCTTCATAGTATGTAGTCATCCACTGAGAGGGTGAAGCAGCAAATTTGCTAGCTGGCTGACTGGGAGGACAGAGAGGCCTTTCTCACCAGTCAACGGCTGTCCTTAATGAGAATAGAAAGTGATTTAGTAGCTTAATGCTCCAACCCTCAGCCTGCCTGCCAGCCTTTGCTTCGCACAGCCAGCTCAGTCGACACTCCTTATAGAGGGGATGAAACTGAGAGCAGTGAACAAAAGAAAAAAAAAATGAGAAAGAAAGAGAAAGAGGGATGATGACAAACCACTGTCCAATGTACAAAACAAAAATGCAAAACAGGAATGATACAGTTTTGTGATTCCTCAGTATCCATATTGCTGACCTCCATTTGTCTTTGTTTTGTCCAGCTTTCTATTCTACTTTGAAGTGATCTGAAAATGACTGTAAATTGAATAAGAACAGTGTGCAACTGTTGTTTTTCACTTTATCTTGTGTGGCTCAAAGCATTTACCTTGTTCCCTACACTGTTGATGGACTGATGCACAGTTGTAAAAGCAAATGTGTCGCTCGCAGTACAAAGGAAAAAGAGGTGAGGATAGTCATGAAAAAAAATAAAAAATACAGAGAAAAGCAAAAGCAGCGAGTTGGTTTTCATGCAGCGTCAGCCCCCTCTTGCAAAGCAAATATGCATTCAGAAGGTAAAAGCCACAAACACTTTCTTGCTATTATGTACTCTGAGATTATCCAATCAAAGGATGCTTTTACCCAGACCATTGTAGAGTAGTTGGCCATCACACAAAACTTCAGATGACCTGTCAAAGAGCAGTGTTGCATTGCCCTGATTCACTCAGCTGTCTGGGGATGTGAACAGAGCTCACACACTAAATCTGATGTCTGGGGTTCCCCAAAGACCTTCAAAAACTAAATTGCTGACAGCTAGTTTAGTGATAGCCCAGACGTGTATGTAGTTTAACTTGCACCTTCGTGTGTGCAGCCAATTACATACTTGAGAGAGAATAGAAGAAAAACATCATGCATATTTGCAGCGCTAAATTGCACTGCTGCATTGGGATACAATAATTAAGGAATTTATTAAATTTCAAATAATTAATCATTTTAACGGGAAGAAGCCAAGAGAGAGGGATATCACATAAAGTTTAACTTTATTATGCGTCCAATATTTGTTACTTCTAGAATATCGACTGTGAGCTGAGGGCAGAACAACTGCTGAATGTCTGGTTGCACATCAAACAAAGAAGCTTAAGCAAATTAGGTGATTTAATGGCTGGGGTTGTATGATCTGGGAAGTCTGTCTCAGTGTAGGGATTTCTGCTCACATCATGGAGGGCAAACAGAGTACCACAACAGTTTCTTACCGAGTGTGAAGTAGGGAAGAGCTGTGTTGTCCAGATCATCCATTACAGAAATTCGGCCAGGTAGGTCTGTTCGGACGAATAACAGGAGCCTGGATTCGCTCCCTCCTCCTCCTCCACCACCTCCTCCTCCTGCCCCCGCTCCACCTCCTCCGGTTCCTCCTCCACCAGCACCACCTGCTCCAGCAGCAGCAGCAGCAGCGCTCCCTCCTCCAACCACGCTCCCGGAGGCTCCACCGGTGAAGCTGAACTCGTTCTCCCGGAGCACGGGCAAGGTAGACACGGTGACGGTTTTCACCTCGCACGGCGCCTCCGCGTCGCTCTCGCCGTCCCGCTCCTCGTCAGCCGACGTCGCACCTTTGCTCGTCCGGAGTGTCAGGCACCCAGTCAGGGAGAAACCCACGAGAAGGACGCGGATGTGCAGCGCCGGTATCCTCGCCATCCCGCTCCTTGTGTGCGATTCTCTCGCTTTGAGTGGGGCTCATAGGCTGTCCGTTCACTTATAGTACAATCGCTGCAAAAGAGTCGCGTCCGTCCAGGAGGCGGCAGCACAGGTGTAGTGAGAATGACAACTCTCGGCTACTAAAGATCCATTCCTGCCAATGTTGTGAGGGGAATAAATACTTGGCTCAATTAAACACGTGACATTAAGGAACGCTTTAAAAACTTTGTCTTTTTGTGTGATTTTTTTTTAAACCACAGATCCACATTTTTATTTAACCAGAACACATGTTTTCCACATTCATTGAAGTTCCAACTCAGCTTAGAGATCGAGATTTAAATCTGCATGCACTGAAAATGCCTCCTTATTTAATTACAGTCAGAGTTAAGTTAAGGCTTATTTTGGAACTTCAATCATTAAGACAAAACAATATGGTCCCTAATTTAAAAACACCTCTATTAGGATCTGAATTTTGTGTTGCTCTTCAAAGCTATTGTTGCATCCACAAATTCTGCATATAACCCTGAAAGAGAACATCTGCTGGCCACATCCAGTTCTGTGACCCAATGCTCGACATATTGTGTTTAAGCAGCACGACAGAGATTTAAATTAGACTCAAGATTTTCAAAAGCTGGTATTATCTAAATCGGTGGTGCCCAAAGTGGGTCCACTCCTGCCTGTCTTAGTTATCTGAGGTTTAACGCACCTGGATCAAATGATGGCTCGTTAGAAGATCTAAGAAGAACACTGACATGGTGTTACTACCACCAGAGAGAGAGAACTAAACGTGCAGCATGCTGCCCTCGAGGACTGACTTTGGGCACTCCTGATCTAAATCATTACTCAACCGCCTTGTAAGTGCAAAATGCGTCCCACACAGGTTTCACTCTCACATCCAATGAAATTTGGAGCATCATGTCAATTGGAATGATTTCAAACAGGCTTCATTTGTGGCTGAAATAAAATACTTTTCCAAAGAAATGTGGTTCAATATTGCTTCACAGTGATGTAACAGACTTATTCCGAATTACCTCAAATGCATCCTGGCAGCTGCTGGCACCCTAGTGTTGGCAGAAGTATTTATTGTATTAATGGACAATTACTTTTTCCCTAAGGGCCATCTTGGTTTCCAGTAGCAAAAGAAGAAAAAGATGTCTCCATTTGAAAACTAATTTTTATATTGGCTCAGTTTATTGTTTTCTTACATATGCAAGAGAACGATAACGTTAGATTATTGGGGCAACACTAGCTCAGGGGGTAGGCAGAGGTGCAACATGTAACCAGTGGGTTGTTTCTACATGCAATTGCTTTCTTTCAAGTTCTTATATGCATATTAGAAATTGCATGTCCTATTACATTAGCTAAGAAGGCTGTCTACTTAGTCTGTTTTTTTGACAGAAATGATAATCCTACCAGATACAGGATATGAGATAAAGTGATAATCTTACAAAATCTCAAGGATTTGACAACAGAATACAATCTCAACATACATTTGATGTTCTAACATTTGTTTTTTGTTTGATCTCTTTAATGCCATTTTTAATTTTCTGAATTGCCCTGTCCATAAAACGCTTGTCTTTATGCTTTCCTGTTATTACTGCATGTTTCCCTGGTGGGCAATAAAAATGTCACCCTCCATTGTTCTGTGTTTGATGCTCGAACAGTTAAATACCTCCTGTATTCTGACGTCAACCGGTATTACAAAAGAGCATGCAGAGATTTTGAATTTGCAATAGATGGATTTTGAAGTGGTTGTGCAAATCCAAGGGAATCAAAATTCACCCTTCTACTGCACTGACGTAATAACCATAAAAACAGATATTTTCAAAAAATCCTCAGGTCATTTATGTTTTTCCTTTTACATCTTTGCAACACGGATCTTAGTTCATATTAGGTTTTGCATTTTGCAAGAATCAACTGAACTTTCAGCCGCCTGAACAGTTTTGTTTCAAGCTGTGTTACAGAGAGAACTTTAACATACATTTCTAACATATTTTTTGTCATGTTATGAAAAACAAACATCAATCAAAATCGATTCTAGAATTTGGGGAACTGAGGCTGTACGAGGTGTTCAAGAGCCACCATATTGAGGAGAATGTGAAGAAGATGTGAAAATTATGTACATTTTGTATACTCAAAGCAAACCTGTGGGTGGTTTTGAGGCAGTGTTGTAGTTAGATACATTGTACAAATTAAGGATTAATAAAGAAGATATGGGATACAAAACATGTTCTGTCTGCGTTTAGGGGAAAAAGAACTCCTGAGGGAAGAGGAGTTCTGGACAGAGGAACTCTATTTTTCTTCTAAATGTCATGTCTGTAATGGTACAGAGTCTTATTTCCAGATGAATGTAAATTAATTGATAAAAGTGTTGAGAAAAGGTGCACTCCTGTGCCATAGATGACGTGAGAAAGGTCTTAAATAGGCAAAGGAGAAAAAATAGTTGGACGATTGCTCAGTGGTGCAAATTTCCAATTTTACATCAAAGTAGTTTGCTCTTCATTCAAAAATCAAGGTCTCAGATTCTGGATGAAGAGTGAAGAAGCAAAGAATCCATGTTGTATGAAGTCCAGTGTAACACAAAGGATTTCTGGAGCTATGTCAAATGCTGCCTTTTCTCCACTGTGTTTTTAATCTGTGCTTCCATTACACCGAAGTAAAGCCAGAGGCTGATCACCTCCATTGCATTTTATGTTGATGCAGTAATGCATGCAAAATGAAACCCAACAAAGTAAAGTTTACATAGCAGTGTATATACTTTGAGAAACTTGACAGTTTACAAGAAATTACTAAAAATGCAGGCTTGAAATACTTCACTCTGTGTGATGCATTTATATAAGAATTTCTGAAATCATGAAATCTTAAATTTTTTAACTACATTATTTTTTATATGTATAGCCATATTAACAACATTTCACAATAGATTGAATGTAAAGAACTTCCATTTTGTGGATGAATCAGATCAGAGAGAGATATGAGCTTAGTTGTAAATAATTTCCAAACCTTAAAAGGCTGTAAAGTAGCAAACTATTGCTTTGATAAGATTGCGATTAGTCGTCATTTCTTGGCATCGTGTTGCTGGACACATAAATGCTCAAGACCAACACTGCCAAAAGTTCTATGTTTTAGAAGTGCTGGCGCTTGCTGATTTTTTTTTTTGTGTGATTTCATCACATTTAATTATGACCACCTGGCAAATAGGTGCCATTTAGTTGCAATAGTAAGTATGTCAGGTTTTTATACATGATTAGGTAAATATTACATTTACCTAGTTAACATCCTTGCCAGGAGCTAGTTATTTTAAATCTGCCCAGTCACTTCCAACCTGGAAGTTATTTGAATTAGTGCAAATTCCCTCTTTTCCATTGTGTTAATTTGACATTTTAGTTGCTCTGTCATAATGATTCCCTGATAGAGAAGTTGACTACAAAGATTAGCCCAAAGGGCAACTCTGACAATTTTCGCAGCCCGCTCGTAAAAGTGCTGACAACATGGAGAGACTCTGTGTGGGCCCACAGAGCATATGCCATAATTGTGCAGACATGACCTCTTCTGCAGATGGATTTCATTGACTGTGCTGTCTGCTTTTAATGGGCAAACAGTAACAAGGCATCAGATGGGAATGATTGATGTCGATGTGTTAGCAAGGTGGTGGAGAGCTGCAAGTAGCAACTTAAACAAGAGTCTGGAATGGCAAACAGCATTGTTATTAGCTGATGGAGAGCTTTTAAATGCTCTGTGGTATGTTATGTGAGATTTATTGCTCAGGAAATTGCTTCGACCTGCACGCCATGGCAGCATCTCACTGCCTTAAAATTAAATTTGACAGACAACAACCTACTGTCCGCTGTGAATAGACAGAGGTAGGAGGATTTAACATGAGACATATGGGAGGATTTAACATGGGACAAAAAGTTATTTTTGCTTGCAAATTCTACAGATATAATTTTTATGTCATAGACCAACATAAAGTAGAGCCACATTTGGTTCTTTACAAATGTGTTGTATTCAGGCTGTCTGTGATATTAGTAATTGACATCCAGTGCAACCATCCGCAGAACTGTCATGGGAAGGCCTCAGAGGTTTGAACGTGTGTGAACACAGAGCATCATTAGACACCAGACAGCTCAGGGATAAAGAAGTGGAGAAGTTTAAAACATTGTTCACTTATAATATCTCTAGGTTTGAACATTTCACTAAGAAATGTTCATAATAACTCTGGTAGACCTGCAGAAATCTGCAGCCCAGGCAGAAAAATTTGTCAATAACTGTTATTCTGGTACTTGGCCTCTGTGAAAAATTGACAAAAGGAGTTACATTGTTGAAAGCGAGCCACAAGAAGTCTTGTTTAAAGTTTAAACCAACACTGTAGGACACAGCCAAAACATGTAAGAATGTGCTCTCAGATTAGACCACATTAGACAACATGGTGTGACGATGTGGTCATCACACCACGATGACCACATCATTATGGTGTGATGGATATTTTTCTTCAGCATAGACAGGGAAGATGGTCAGAGTTGTTCGGAGGATAGATTCAGCAAAACACATGGAAATGCTGAAAATAATTGAGGCTGGGCTGAAGTTTCACCTCCCAATAAGACAATAACCTTAAGCATGTTAGCAGAGCAAGATTGGATTGGATTAGATCAAAGCGTGTCCCTGTGCTTTATTGGCTCAATCAAGAGCAGACCTAACTCTGCTGGAGAATTTCAGAAGACTTTAAGTTGTATCTTCACAGATGCTTCCCATATAATCCACACAAAAATGTGAGTCTTTAGATAAAAAACACAAACAAACAAACAAACAAAAAAAACCACTAACAGTTGTATTTGCACAGAAGATCGGTTCTACAAAGTGTTGTCTCACATATTCTGTGACATATTTCTGATTATCAAAATCATGTATTACTTCCTCCATCCTTCTTAACACATATGCAGCCCTTTGGGTTCATCTGTATAAAATAAAATCCCTTTAAAATGCAAGAAATTTTGTGGAACTCACATTAAATGAAAAAGTTCAAAGGATACAAAATATGTAAAGCCATTTCCATCAAA